TCTTTCAGCCAGAAGGAAATGTTGATAGTCACCCCAATAGTCGAAAACGACTCCCGCCAACGACTCCCGCCAACGACGACAAAATATAAAAGTTCAGATCGCTATTCGAGTTTTTTTGCTAACGATCGCGGTAGCAAGAAACAGTAGAAAAGAAGCTGTTTGAATCTTTTTTGTGTGGTACGTCGCGAGGTACGCGTAATTGCGGATCCTTTGTAATTTTGGTATTCAGCACTGTCTATAATTGTATAGGTAGGTGTTTGTCTTTTGGTATTTCCGTCTCACTATATATCCCCTTTTCCTTTTTTGGTGGCGTTTCTCTTGATTTCTTGATATATTGGGTTTGTTTTACCTTTTTTTATTTATTTTGGTCACTTGTATTGGTTTTCAATACTTCAGTTGAAAACGACAGTCAAGGTACTACGGTTAAGCTTTTTATTTAATTCTTCTTGTGTTCGAACAAGAGCTTTCTTCTTTAAACACACACAAATTTATCAGACTCCATTAGAAACATACTAGTAGAAAACACAAATATATTAACTGCATCCACCTGCAAAAAAGATTAAAAATAATGGAAGCTTTAATAATAAAAAAAGAAAAAGCCAAATCTTAACAATATTAACTACGAACAAAGCCACAATGTGCTAACCGTATTCGGAAATTAAAATCATCCCTATAACACACTAAAACATACACAGAACGGACACACTCAATTAAACTGAAAAATCAAATAATCCATGATAATGGCTAAAGGTATAGACGAAAGCGCTCGAAAATAAAAAACATTTGGACACTTCTTACACACCCTTTGTGCAGAAAAGAAAGCTCTTGTTCGAACACAAGAAAAATTAAATAAAAAGCTTAACCGTAGAACCTTGTCAGTCGTTTTTTGCTGCCTCATTCTTTCGAATAAAGATAGCCCAATGGTTGAAACTCTGACACCAAATCGTTTAGGTTTCAATTGTGGTTTGATGTATATATATAATTCAAAGAAAAAACAGACCACTTTAAGGTACCATTGTAATAATTTATTAATCTCTGGATCTTCAAACTTCACTTTCAAGTTTTTATATATATATATATATATATATATATATATATATATATATATATATATAGTCATCCATATACAAGACTGTTTTACTGTATCACAGCTAATCAGTGTGGCTAGACATCCGATTGTTTGAAGCCGGGATCGATACTCGACCGATTTGGCATCAGAAGAGATTCTACCCCAAAGATATCTGTGCACGCTCAAAAAAAGGGACATTTTTAACGTATTATATACGTGATGTATACAAAAGCAAGTAACCAAGAGCGCTCAATTCATAACTGAAGAGCAATGCATTAATAGCAGGAGCAGCCACTGATTTTTAAAATTAACCTTTCTCTAGAGTGCTCAATCAGGAAACAAAAAAAAAGCTTGTGATTATCTGAGGATAAGTGTGGGACCATATATATATATATATATATATATATATATATATATATATATATATATATGTGTGTGTGTGTGTGTGTGTGTGTATGTGTGTGTGTGTGTGTAATATTTATTTAAAAATTATAGAATAACATCACTACAAAAATACCCGTTTTGTTTCAACACTTTTGATGTTTTGTCAATTGATGGTGTTGATAGTAAAACGGATTTGTGTATATATATATAGATAGATAGATAGATAGATAGATAGATAGATAGATAGATAAGTGGACATTGAAGACAGACAGACACACAGACACACACACACACACACACACACACATATATATATATATATATATATATATATATATATATAGCATGCATATATTCTTTTCAATGTACTATATATATGTAAGGGAAATATGCTCAGCATCTCACAGAAGAAACCGGTCCTCCCCAGTTCTTTTGCATAGGTTTTACTTATGTGTTTCTTTATTTAATTTCTATTTTAGAATTACAATTTTTAATTATATATTTTGCAGCCCGCCGATATTTTTTTAATTAAATACATAGGCTGACTTTGAAGGAGTGATGCCACAGCTGTGAAATCTTGCATGTATTTATTTTAACTCTTCTTAGTAAGAACTCCATTGTCTCTTTCCTGGTAACCTGATTGTTCAAAGAAGACTATTCCCGTTGATCAAAAGTCATTCACAACAGATATGACGTCATCATCACAGCGACATTGGTTCTCAGCCAACAGTTTTTTTCATATTGGCTCAAAGTAATGAACACGACATTTATCAAGGGTTCAAGGAAACCAGCTGTATCTATCTCAAAAAAATGTTAGACTTTCCCGTGATGTGATCGGACTGGTGGGCTTTTGATCAGGGGTCAGAAGATATGATAATAGCATTGGCTATTTGATTTCTAGTCAATTGTCTGTCATCCATCACCATGTAGTGAACACAATCAATATTTTCCTCGGTGGTGGCAGTTGCAGGACGTCCAGACTTTGGATCATCTTCAAAACTCTCTAACTTTTTCTGGTAAATAATTTTACCATAGAAATGCACTGCTAATGTATTTTAACGTAGAAATGCATTGTAAATGATTGAATATTGAATTTTAATGTAGAAATGGATTGTAAATGATTGAATATTGAAATAGATTGTAACTTATTTTATTATGCAAATGTGTTTGTAATGATTTACTATGGAAAGTTATTTTCAATGAACAATTTGAGGTTTCAGTAATTAAAGAAAGAACAGACATTGAGAAGACAGAGAATAATGATTGACATTGCACTTGAAATTGTTGAAGATCAAAGTTGACTGAAAATCAAGAAGTAGGAAGAGAATTCCACAAGTGATAATTGCGAGAGAAGAAACTGTTAGCATAGAACTTACGGTTGCATATATATATATATATATATATATATATATATATATATATATATATATATATATATATATATATCAGAACAATTATCATAAGTATATATTTATAGAAGAGGCACAGGGAAGCTACGTTAAGGCAGGAAAGTGACTGACAACGTGACTGAATCTGTAAATACGAAGCAGAAGCACCAGACCAGATGTGGCAGCAGTCTTCAAAGCAAGGACAAATAGTAGAATTATCAGCCATGCTAATAGAAACCAAAAATAGGTTCTATTAGGCGATTAAAATAGAGGTTTCATTTTGGAGGCGTTAGCATTATCAGGCTATTTCTTGCCCCAGTTAACAACAAATTGTTGGTCATTTTGGAAACCAGCTGCCGATCTGACCTTATCGAACCGATCAGACTTAGTATTAAGCCAGGAGAAAAATAATTGTCATCAGCATATATAGCGAATTACAAACTGTTGCTCAAGGTTCTACTATAGAAAGGAATTTAAAAACAATGAAGATACAGATAATCAGTAATCAGAAAATAATACGAGAATTAAAGGCAGGATTATCTTTCGCGTTTCAAATAGACGTGTAGTGACGGCTATAATTTCTAGAGGTAAATTCGACCAGTACAACCTTTTTGTAATGAACCCTTTTGTCAAATTTACAGGAAATTTCCTCTTAATTTAGTCTACGTGCATTCGAGAACAAAGACTGATTGTTTTTTGTTAGCTAAAAAAAAAAAATCAGCAACCCCTTTTATTCTAACCACCACGTCTATTTGAACGTCAAGTAAATTATTATATACCTCTGATTTGAGTATAAATGTTTATTGCGAATCAAGAAGAAAAGCATTATCACTGATCAGAAATTAATGTAAATTGTAAATATTACTGACAGAATAAATTTATTATATGCATTACGAATTATTTGACGACAGAAATACTTTGATAGTCATTTTAATATATGAACATTATAAAGAGTTATTATAGTTTACCAGTTGTAACGCTTATCAGTGTTGAAGTATACAAACCTTTTTGAAGATATATATATATATATATATATATATATATATATATATATATATATATATATATATATATATGTGTGTGTGTGTGTGTGTGTGTGTGTTGTTTGTGTGTGTGTGTGTGTATAAATATATATATAATTATTTATATATTATATGCGCGGTACTTATTAGAAATCGCTCAATATATATATATATATATATATATGTGTGTGTGTGTGTGTGTGTGTATGTATGTATGTATATATGTAGATAGGCAGAAAGAGGGATAGACAGAGTGAACAGACTAAGATAGAAAATGAGAGGACAACAACAAAGATATCGAGCTAGCTAGATAGATAGATAGGATAACAGACTGCTACACACACAGACACACACACACACACACATATATATATATATATATATATATATATATATATATATATATATATATATCAATCTGTTCGCATAACAGTCCTAATGTCTGTCTGTCTTTCTCAGCGTGTTTATCTCTCTTTCTGTTTTCTTTTCTTGGCCTGTTCTTCTCTCTCTCTCTCTCTTTCTCTTTATATATATATATATATATATATATATATATATATATATATATATATAGATAGATAGATAGATAGATAGAGAGAGAGAGAGAGAGAGAAATAGTGAGAGAGTGGGAGAAACAAGAACACAAAGACAGAGAAAGAGACAGACAGACAGAAATTTGGATTGTGATGCGAAAAGACTCATAGATAGATAGATAGATAGATAGATAGATAGAAACATCCTATATTATAAGCCAATCGCCAAAGATAGGTAGACAGTCACCGTTTCCGATGCGAATATCAGATGGTGTTCCGGAAAATAAGATTTAAAACGGGATTACCTATTTCCGGATATTTAAACATTACCTTCGCAATTTCCTACATTAAAGAAGTCTAACATATGGCTATACACCAGCCATTCTAAGTGAACTCAAAGAACATTCCACAAGTGCAGGGACAAAAAAAAAAAGAAGATGATCATGGCGCCTGCAGGCACAGAATGTCAAATCACTTTATAACTTTCCAAGATTATGGATTTTTCTTATCAATTCATCTCTCGAATATGTAATTGGAAAATTAACACGTCATGACACGTGATTGGGAAATATCCATTACTGAGATTATAGATTGAAACACATATCTACATGAGAGAGAGAGACAGAGACAGAGAGATAGAAAGGGAAAGAGAGAGTGAGAGAGAAGGAGAGTGTGAGAAAGAGAGAGGAAAGAGAGAGAGTGAAAGAGAAAGAGAGAGATAGAAAGGGAAAGAGAAAGTGAAATAGAGAGTGAGGGAGAGAATGAGAGTGTGAGAAAGAGATAGGAAAGAGAGAGAGAGTGAAAGAGAAAGAGAGAGAGATAGAAAGGGAAAGAGAGAGAGTGAAAGAGATAGAGAGTGTGAGAGAATGAGAGTGTGAGAAAGAAGGGAAAGAGAGAGAGTGAAAGAGAGAGTGAGAGAGAGAATGAGAGTGTGAGAAAGAGATAGGAAAGAGAGAGAGTGAAAGAGATAGAGAGTGTGAGAGAATGAGAGTGTGAGAAAGAGAGAGGAAAGAGAGAGAGTGAAAGAGAAAGAGAGAGATATAGAAAGGGAAAGAGAGAGTGAGGGAGAGAATGAGAGTGTGAGAAAGAGATAGGAAAGAGAGAGAGTGAAAGAGAAAGTGAGAGAGATAGAAAGGGAAAGTGAGAGTGAGTGAAAGAGATAGAGAGTGTGAGAGAATGAGAGTGTGAGAAAGAGAGAGGAAAGAAAGAGAGTGAGAGAGGGAATGATAGAGAGAGAGTGAGAGAAAGAGAGAGAAGGATAAGAAAGAAAGCGAGATGAATGTTTCTTGGATGAAACAATTGTCTTGACAGTGCTAGGTTTTCTAGTCCAACTAAAAAAGTAGGAATTTGACTGCTTATTTTCAAGGCAAACCGACCTTTTGGGAGACTAGTGGACGCAAGATTCAGAAACCTATTCTATATGATTTGGCCTTTAGCTGTATAAAGTTAATCCTTACATTTTGGGGGGACATTCACTTTAGAGATTACACAGCTGACGAAAAGACTTAAAGCGATAGAGATGACGTTCAACCGACATTGCAAATAAGCAACAAGAAGGTCTTAAGTAAAACAAAAGCGACAAAGAAACTTATACTTAAAATCTGAAAATGGCAGTTGAAATTTTGGTAATAATTATGAGGAAAGGTAGTCTAGAGAATTTAACACTCACTGAACATACTAAAGTCAAAAGATGCAGGGGAAGACAACGGGTAAACTACTTCACGACCAAGGACAAAGATGAATGGGAAAAGGGTAGAACATTAATCTAGTCTTAATTCTTTTTCCGGTACTAGATTCTGCTTATCGATGTGTCGCTCGCAGTTGTTAATGGAAAGTTACCACCTGATAAGCTGTAAGTAGGGAATATACAACATTGGAATTCTAAATTTAAACACTTAGGAATATGGTGGGTGTGCTTGCCTCTTGGCCAGGATAAATACGTGTTTTTTTCTTTTGTTTTTTTTTTTTTAGCGGTGTTAGTTATTGGTATTCAAATTCTTGCTATTAGACATATAGTATGACTTCACTCATTATAGTATGACATATAGTATGACATATAGTATGACTTCACTCATTATGTTATCGCTAACAGCGAAGATATTCAACTTACGGATGCTTATCCGGGGCATTTTGATATCAGGCTGGTCTTGGCTGTCAGACGAGAAGAGCTTCAAACATAGCCACTAGGACCAAGCATGAGGTCACCAGTTATCACAGACCTGGTTAAAACACAACATCCAACATAATGTCCACAACTCTGCCCTAGTTGAAAGATGATTACGAAAACCACATAGAAGATACTATTCACTGTACTGTTCGTTAAGCGGCACCAGTCATTGAACTATGAAGTTGAGCGGTACCAGCCATGTAATTTCATGCAGTGATTCACTTGTTCGATTGGTTATTATACTTGTCCCTTGCTACCGGCCACATTCGCTCATATTCTCAAGAACTGTTTGTGCCTAGTTATCACGCGCTACTGATATCTATTGGAAATTCACATGTTGCTAGTATGACCTTGTTCCTGATGTTCAGTGAAAACTATTGCAACATTCGTTATAAAACTCGACAAGTTACTGTCTCCCATATGCAAAGTGTGTTAAATTCTGCCTGCATCAAATTATTGCCACAGCTACAATACATTTTTACCTCTTATGCTCACAAATACGATCCAATTGAGTCTATTCCTAACTAGGGGTAATGGACAAAACCATAGCCCATCATATAATATTGTAGAATCAGACCGACTCCGTAAGGAATGTAAAAACCTTCCGAAATTTGGTATTTCTGAGTTTTCATTACTGCAAATGTTCTCGGCGATTTTTTTACATGATTTTTTTCAATCATTTTTTTTCTTTGTACGAAACTTTTATAACTTGGAAATAAATTTGAGAATAATTGAGATTAATTGCGAAATCCAGCGAAAGGCACACATGAAATAAAAATAATTATACGTAAAGTAAGGATCTACGTACATCAAATAGTATTTAATTTATGTGGCGTCAGAAGAATTATCGTTTATCTTTTAAAAGGGAAAATTAAATATTAATGCATTACTTAAATGCAGCGATCAATTTTGAGTTCTTCTGCAGTTTATTGTTGCCTATCGCATACGGCAGCAGATTGCCTGGTAAAAAGAAATCTCCACCAACAGAGGACCAGATTTATCAAAAAGAACCAAATCTGCAGCGAGGAAAAGAAAGTTCCGTGCAAATGAAAGCCCAGATCAAACGATAGACAAGAGAGCTCCCAATGCTGAGAATGTGCAAGTACATAGGGGCTCTCAAACTCCTGAACAAGCCGAAGGTCTAATCAAGAGCTCTCCGCAGGAGTTAGCTTAAATGCCGACCGACAAGCAAGCAAACCCACGCGCGCATACACATACACACACAACACGTACACACACACACACACACACACACACACACGTATATATATATATATATATATATATATATATATATATATATATATATATATATTATTAATGGTGAATATACATTTTCTTCGCCGTTTGGCACAACTCTGAGTTTCATGCACGCTGTATTTTTAAGATATATATACATACATGCATACATACATACATATATATATATATATATATATATATATATATATATATATATATATATATTCTTTCCTTCATGATACCTAGACTGGTGGTAGGTCTCATCTTACTGTTGAAATGGCTAGATATAACCGTAAGTTCTATGCTAACATTTTCTTCTATAACACTTCTCGCCTGTGAAACTCTCTTCCGGCTTCTTGCTTCCCAGTCAAGTTTGATCTTCAAAAATTTAAATGCAATATCAATTGTTATCTTCTGACTTTTATTGTCCACTCTCCTTAATAGTAGTTTTTCACATATTCTCTAACCCTCAGTAGCCTCTTGCTTCTTAGTGACTTTATTCCCTTGCTTGCAGTGAAATGATTACATACATACATACATACATACATACATATATATATATATATATATATATATATATATATATATATATATAATTAACTGACTTGATTTTCTAAAAAGAATCCTATTTTGGCTTCGTTTTGTGTTTAATAGAATATGGCGAAATTATTTTTCATTATGTCCTTCGTCGAGTACATATCAAGGTAAATGAAGTGACTGGAAAGCGATGAAGGCGAGGACGATTCGATCATTTCCCACTAATTAATGATTATAAGAATCAACATGGCAACCGGCGTCTATTGTGCAAAAATGAGTGAGGCAGCAATCAGTTGAATATAAATATTATTTCTTAGCAACAATCTCTATTCTTGGCAAGATTATAGTCTTCAATCACTTTCTGTCTGTCTGTCTGTTTCTGTCTGTCTGTCTATCTCGGTTTTCACATCTATCTATCTATCTATCTATCTATCTATCTATCTATCTATCTATCTTATACTTTTCATATCTGTATTATTGTGTTCATATCTATCTCAGCATATCCTTTTTCTCTTTCTCTGATAAACTTGATGCTTTTTAACCTCTCTCTCTCTCTCTCTCTCTCTATATATATATATATATATATATATATATATATATATATATATGCGTTTCCCTAGCAATTCTGATGGTGGACATAATATGCGTGGGCCAAAAAATACGTCACCATGTCCTTGATTTTGTCCAAACTTTTCCGCAACTTGTTCGGATATGCAGATTCAGGCGATTCTGTTGGCGAGTCTGCGTATTTTCTTCAAGATCAGAGCTGTGAACCCCAAGCTCATCTTTAGTTTTCACCTTCTTAATGAAATCACGGTCATTGTCAGCCATTTGCAAATTATGTCCGAAATTCCTTTTGTTTTAACAGATGTTGTGGAACCAAGTTTTCTAGGCCAGTCGTTCTTACGTCGAAATCTTTGAACCAGTTAGGGCAGTTGTAGCGTTTCGGCAAAGACTAGACACCAGATTCGTTCTCAGGATGTAGCTTCTCCCAGCCAGACGCTTGTGGCTTTAAAAATATCACTTTGGCCATATCGTCACCCAGAAAAAGAAAAACAATGAGAGGATTATAGCTGTAGGCAAATTTATTACGTACTAACTTTCTGCTGTAGACGAGCAAAGCAGAGATGAGGCAAGTTAAGGGAACAAAACGTCTAACGGCCGTGCTTTCCTTTCATTGAGTGAGCAAATGGTCCCTAATCTCTCTCTGCTCAATCCATGTGTCCTTCCTTTAGGGGGCACTCTCTTATAGAGAACCGTTTTCTGTCATGCCAGCTTTATATTCGGCAAGAACTCAGGTACTTGCTTCACTCAAGGACCTGCTTTGTCAGGATCATTTGACTTGTTCTTGGGAGATCCAGTCGATTAAGCTGACATTCTTTGGCAAGACAAATAATTGTCAAAGCGATTTATGTGATGCGTTGCAAGTTGGCTCTTAGCAAGATGTTAAATGATATCGCTATAGAATCCACAAAGCTTCTTTGATTTTTGCAGAGTCACAGTCAGTCGTTGATTACTCCTTGAAGGTCTCACGCACATAACATTTTCTCCCAGAACGAACATTGATTAGCAGCCAATTTTCAAGCATTTAGACCGAAATTTCATTCCCAGAATTCTTCTTAATCATTCGAATAATTTCTGCGGATCACTCTCCACATTTTAAACATTTTCGAAGCATTTCCACTTATCCATCGCATTTTTATTGGGACTGTCACACAGTTTAATTCAGTGGTGTCTCTCAATTGCATATCCCAACGGGAGTGTGTCTGTTCGAGCATGCTCAGTACGTGACCCAATTTACAGCAAAGACACGCAAAGAGTTCTCGAGATATTCAAAATGGATGAATATTTTCCGGCTGACCTCGTAGTTTAATAGCTATATAGTATTTAATTAAATTTTCTACCCTACGCCAACTAGATTTTTTCTTTTTTTTTTTACGATCTAGCAGAGAAAGAATCGTCCAATGGAGTCATAAGTATAAGCCTTTCAAGAAGAAGGAAAACACACGAGAAATCATTGGCTGTTTTAGATTTTTTAAATTGTGGGTAACGAGATTTACTGGACATCAGAGTAGCCGTAAAATTTGGCGAGATTCCAACCGATTGATTGAGTGCGTCTCGCTTGGGAGTCAATTTGACCTTAACGGCTGCAGTTAAGCCTAATAATTTATAGAAAGAAACGAAAGAAAGAAAGAAAACAAAATGGCTGCTCGAAAATCGTTTGGAATTGACAGCAACAGCAATAAACTTCAAAATAAAACCAAATAAAATGTAATAGACAAAATAGGTAAGAGAATAATAGATAGAATTAACTCGGATCAAATCATGAAGTTCGGAATAAACCAGTGGAAAATTACAAAAAGAAAATACAATTTTGTTCTGCAATATAAAAAGATATCTATCCTTTGGTATATGCAAGATAAAATTGTCTCCCTAGCTCGGAAACACGTAAAAATAAACCGAGACTAATTAAAAATAACAGCACTGCAGAAAATCATTATTATTCGACAACGAAGTTGTTTAGCGTTACAGCTCACACCAGACACCACATTCATTCTCAGGGTGCAGCTTCTTCTACTCAAGCGCTTGTGACTAAAAAATAAAAATAACCCGTCTATATTTCTGAGATGAGGTATTATGTACACTATTTACAGTTCGACATTCCAACCACCTGAAGAAGGCCGGAGCGTACAACGGCTGAAACGTTGTTATAAACATGACGACAAAGATGAGGACAATAGTCCGAATAATGTAAATAGTGTAAAAAGATAACCCTTCGGCCACATAGTTACCCACGAAATAAAAACATGAGACAACTGTAGCAATTTTCTTCATTTCTAACCTTCTGTTGTAGACGGGCTAGATAGAAATGAGGCAAGTTGAAAATAGTTGAGGGGGCAAACTGTCTAACGGGCGTGTTTTCCTTTTCGCCTCGCAGCGAGTGGTCTCTTCTTCCTTCCTCTTCTCTCTGCGTTTTGCTGCTAGGAACCACTTTCTTATAAAGTACATCGTTCTTTATCTTGTTAGCTGTGTCTAAAAAGTTATTCAGCAAATATTTGGCTTCACTCACTGACCTTCTTTGTCAGGATCCTTTGACCTGCTTCTTGGGAGATCCACTTTATTAAGTTCACCTGCTTTACCAAGAGAAATAATTGTCAAATCGATTACTGTGACGCGTTTCAG